AAAAAAAAAAAAAAAAACATTAGCTGGGCATAGTGGCAAATGCCTATAGTCCTAGCTACTCAAGAGGCTCAGGTGAGAGGATCGTTTGAGCCCAGGAGTTGGAGGCTGTAGCAAGCTGTGATTGCACCACTGCACTCCAGCCTGGGCAACAGAATGAGACCCTGTCGCAAAAAATAAATAAATAAATAAATAAAAAGAATGTTCAGTGCAGCTTTATTCACAAGAAACCCAAATGCCTATCAATCAACAAGAGTGGGGGCTGGGCGCAGTGGCTCATGCCTGTAATCCCAGCACTTTGGGAGGCCGAGGTGGGTGGATCATCTGAGGTCAGGAGTTCGAGAGCAGCCTGGCCAACATGGCAAAACCCTTTCTCTACTAAAATAGAAAGATTAGCCAGGCGTGCTTGTGGGTGCCTGTAATCCCAGCAACTCAGGAGGGCGAGGCAGGAAAATGGCTTGAACCCAGAAAGCAGAGGTTTCAGTGAGCAGAGATCACATCACTACACTCCAGCCTGGGCAACGGAGCAAGACTCCATCCCAAAAAACCAATCCACCACAGTGGGAAGCAAACTGTGGTACATTTATACACTGGAACACTATACAGCAATGAAAAAGAGCAAACCACTGCCACACCCAATAACATCAATAAACTGCCCAGATGCTGAGTAAAAGGGGCTGGACTTCAAGAAGAGACGAAATGAACAGATGTCGCAAGAGTAATTAGCTCCAGACGGCACCAAGCAAAAAGAGATGACTTCTGGGGTGATGACGATGTTCTACCTTTTGACCCAAGTAGTAGCTGTGCAGTTGCATATGCTGTGCACTGAAGATCTGTATGCTTGGGGCACTTTACTGTCAAATGTAACTTGGCTGAAAGTGTGACTTAAATGTAAGATGAAAAGTGCAGGGGTCATCAAGGGCCATGGCTCAGACCCCAGAGGCAGAGTCAACTGAGGCAGCCCCCCAGATCTCCCATAATGTGATGGTTTAAAAATAACTTAGCAGGCACAGTGGCTCACGCCTGTAATCCCAGCATTTTAAGAGGCCAAGGCGGGTGGGTCCCTTGAGGCCAGGAGTTTGAGACCAACCTGGGCAACATGGTGAGACCCCGTCTCTACAATAAAGTTTTTAAAACGTTAGCTGCTGGTGGCTCACACCTGTAATCTCAGTACTTTGGGAGGCCAAGGTGGGTAGATCGTTTGAGCTTAGGAATTTGAGACTAGCCTGGGCAACATGTCAAAACTCCATCTCTACAAAAAATACAAAAATTTAGCTGGTTGTGGTGGTGCGTGCCTGTAGTTCCAGCTTCTCGGGAGACTGAAGTGGGAGGATCGCTTGAGCCCAGGAGGTCAAGGATGCAGCAGCTGAGATCTCACAACTGCACTCCAGCCTGGGCAACACGCACTGCCTCAAAAGAGCTCTTTGAGGAAGACGCAGTAGTAGTTTTGGGTCGTGGAGCCGCACGCTTCTGCTCCTGACTCACCGCTGTTCGCTCTCGCTGAGGAACAAGTTGGTCAGGAAGCCGGGCAGCAGCCATGGCTTTTAAGGATACTAGAAAAACACCCGTGGAGCCGGAGGTGGGAGGTCACGGAATTCCAATCACTCTAACGAGCCTCAACGTTAAATCCACGGGGAAGGAATGTGCTGACTTGATCAGAGGAGCAAAGTTTTGAAAAGAATCTCAAAGTGAAAGGACCGGTTCGAATGCCTACCAAAACTTTGAGAATCACAAGAAAAACTCCTTGTGGTAAAGGTTCTAAGACATGGGATCGTTTCCAGATGAGAATCCACAAGTGCCGGGCACGGTGACTCACACCTGTAACCCCAGCACTTTGGGAGGTGGAGGCGAGTGGATCACCTGAGGTTGGGAGTTCGAGACCAGCTTGACCAACATGAAGAAACCCCATCTCTACTAAAAATACAAAATTAGCTGGGCGTGGTGGCACATGCCTGTACTCCCAGCTACTCGGGAGGCTGAGGCAGGAGACTTGCTTGAACCTGGGAGGCGGAAGTTGCAGTGAGATCATACCATTTGCACTCCAGCCTGGGCAACAAGAGCAAAACTTCATCTCAAAAAAAAAAAAAAAAAAAAAAA